ATACATGCCATGTGCAGTGGCATCCTTTCCCTTTCGTTTCGTCTTATTTACACATAGCACATCTACGAGTATTCATCTATAATTCATAATTTCGTATACTTCATACATCTTATCATTCATTGCTCTACATACGTTCAGCGTAGCAAGGTGGACATCCACAATCCACTTTTCGCCCCTCCAGAAGACAGAACGTGACGGGTAGCGAATCTCGTAGCTGATATATATCGTCCTTATAGGTCTCATTTGAAAATAGTCCTTCAGTTATGATCTTCCTATTTGGGCCTATTTTTAGTCGTTATAGCCTTCAAACCGTGGACTCACTTACTATATCTTTAATAATAGATGAACTTCCTAGATCTTTTGTCGGTTTCAGTTTATTATAGCGTACTTAAAACGAAACAGTAATCATCATCATCATCATCATTACAGCCCTTCACAAGTCCACTGCTGAACATAGGCCTCCCCCAAAGAATGCCACAAAGCACGGTCCTGAGCCACCTGCATCCATCGACTTCCTGCATATCTTACCAGGTCGTCACTCCATCTAGTGGGGGGACGCCCTACACTTCGCCTGCCGGTACGAGGCTGCCACTCGAGAACCTTTCTTCCCCATCGGTTGTCGGTTCTTCGAGCTATATGGCCGGCCCATTGCCACTTCAGCTTACTAATCCGTTGGGCTATGTCTGTTACTCTGGTTCTACTGCGGATATCCACATTTCTAAGTTTATCACACAGAGAAACCCCGAACATAGTCTCTCCATAGCTCGCTGAGCGACCTTGAGCTTCCTCATACGGCCAACAGTGAATGACTACGTCTCAGATCCGTAAGTCATCACTGGCAACACTGGTTGTACAATTTCGTTTTCAGGTTTTGAGGTATGTCTAACGATAAGATGTGTCGTAGTTTCCCGAACGCTGCCCAGCCGAGTTGAATCCGTCGATTGACCTCTCGGTCGAAGTTGGACTTACCTAGTCGGACTATTTGTCCCAGATAAACATACTCGTCAACAACTTCGAGCTTAGTGTTCCCAACAACTACCGGCATAGGTGTAACATGGACGATAAACATGACTTTTGTTTTGTCCATGTCTATCTTAAGACCTATCCGTTTGGAGATACTATTGAAGTCATTGAGCATAGTGCTTAGGTCCTCCAGCGATTCTGCCATAAGGACTATATCGTCGGCAAATCAAAGGTGAGTGATGTACTCGCCATTGATGTTAATACCGTATTCTTTCCATTCTAGAAGCTTGAAAACGTCTTCCAATGCAGCGGTGAAGAGTTTCGGGGATGTAACGTCACCTTGTCTTACACCTTTCGTACTCTGGTTCTGTACTCGGATAGCCATCGTAACCCTACTGTACAAGCACTTCAGCACTTCGATATACCGACAGTCAACTTGGCATCGCTGAAGGGATTGCAGCACCGCCCAAATTTCGACGTAATCAAAGGCTTTTTCATAGTCCACATACGCCAGACATAGTGGCAAATTGTACTCCTCGGACTTCTGTACAATTTGCCGAAGGGTATGTATGTGGTCTATGGTGCTGAAGCCTTTTCGGAAACCGGCTTGTTCGGGAGGCTGGAAGTCGTCAAGTCTGCGCGTGACACGATTCGTAATGACTCTTGAAAACAGCACGTAGACGCGGCTCAGAAGGGAAATCGGTCTGTAGTTCTTCAAGAGAGCGTTGTCGCCTTTCTTGAAGAACAAGACCACCGCACTTCTGCTCCACGCCTCCGGTGTAATGCCACCATGGAGGACGGAATTAAAGAGCTTCTGAAGGACTTCAAGTACCGGTTTTCCACCCGCTTTCAGAAGCTCCGCTGTAATTCCATCCTGGCCTGGGGCTTTGCCGTTTTTAAGGTGCTGGAGAGCCATTCTAATCTCGCTCAGACTGACGTCCGGGATATCATAGGAATAATGTCGGATAAGACTCGCTCTTGGATCGTTACTCACACTTGCGTGTGGCTCCAACGATGATGTGTACAGCTGCCCATAGAACCTCTCAATCTCACTCAAAATCTCAGGTGCCCCGGAAACGATGCTGCTACATTCGGTCTTCAGCTTTGACAGTTGGCTCTTTCTGGCAGACAGATCTCTAGCAAAGACTTTGGAGCCCTGGTTCCGCTCGAGCGCTTCTTCAATACGAGCTGTATTGAAGTTGCGTAAGTCCCGCCGCATGCATTTGGAGATCTGTCTGTTCAGTTGCCTGTATGCTGTCAAATCTGTTGAAGAATGTAGCTTCATCTCCCGTCTAACAGCCATGAGATTAAGAAACAGTAATAGTAATAAATAATTTTTTTCTTCGATTACATGGTTGCTTTTTTACCATTTGGCTTTCGCGTGTATATTAGGTAGGTACATTGACGTTCAAATTTGTAGTATACACTTAAATAATTATACATTTATCATTCAATACAGTCTCTTAGATGCTGACTGCTGAAGAAAAGGCTCTCCCACAAGGAAATTTAGCCATAGTTGCCACGATTTACAGGCGGGTTGCAACTGAAAATTTTTCTTTTCAATCGTTATCAGGATGATGTGAAGGGGCAGCATCATCCTGTTAACAACAACAATTTTCTGTTTCAGTTTCCATTAGTTGCCACTTTTGACATGTACTATGTTATGGGATAGTAAATATACTTACGCCTCCACTACACTGTACACGTAAAAAATAGAAATCTTCAAATCTTATAAAATTATTTCCCACTCCCTAAGGAGTACTAGAAATTTTAGTATAAAACAAACTAAACTTTGTAACTCTCCACCTACATACATATTCTTTAGCCTAGGGACATAATACACAAGAAAGCTTAATGGACCCTTTAACGATGCCCCAACAATGCAATGTCTCATATGTGGTATATTTTCTCGACCTTGACTTTTGTTAAGAAATAGTAAATTATTAAATTAAGCAGTCTGTCTTAAAAGCTTTTAAAAAAAATTATTTCGCAAACATCCGCTCTATAAAATAAAACGATGTGTCTTACCTAGTATGAAGAGCACCTCCCACCCTCCTTCAATTGCGTGCACTATCCCCGTCACCACTAATCCCAGCAACACTACTCCCAAGACCACAACACTAGGAGAGACACACCACTGACGAAAATACGACACGTGTTTCGCCTCTACACGAGGCATCCTCAGGTAACCACCACAAGCCACCGTAGAGTCTAGCAACATGCAATTGAGAGAGGGCGGGAGGTGCTCTTCATATTAGGTAAGACACATCGTTTTATTTTATAGAGCGGATGTTTGCGAAGTAAATTTTTTTCAAAAGCTTTTATATTATGGATTTCCGCAAAGCAACGCCTGATTCTATTAATTATCTTAAATTAATATACAGTACCTTTTTTTTTTTGCGGATGGGAAATCATCAAATGACGTCTTTCGCTCTGGGTGGAGCGGAAGGGAGTGTCAGACTTTTACTGACTAAAAACCATCCGTGTTCCTTCAGTGCCCTTACGTTCCGGAGCCGCGGTATCTCTTTCGAACAGCCCGCAGCCCCGGCAGGCGTCGGCCCTTGCGGGCCCCTTCACGCTGCTGACAGCTCTTTGAGGTGCGCGTGGAACAAAACGCGCCGTCGACACGGCCTGTCGTCGTGAGACGGACGGACGGCGAGCTACCTATTGCTCGCCGTCCACAGGCCCGCGCCTACGGTGGCCGGGGGCCACGACGTAGCCCCCGACGCCCGGGGCGTCTCCCGCGGCGGCCGGGAAGGAAAGCTGCTGCTCTCTCCTTCTCCCGCTCCGCCACCTCCTTCGCTAGCATCACTGCTTCGCAGAAGGTGGTGACGGCAACCCATTCCGTCTCGCTCCGGACCATGGCTTCGACCAGGGCCGGACGCGAGAGGTCGCCGCCGCCTATCGCCGCTACGAGGACACGGCGGTGCTCCGCCCAGGCAGGGCACACCTCCACGGTGTGCTCCACCGTGTCCTCCGGTCGATCCACGCAGTGGGAGCACCCGGGCGTTTCCTCCCGCCCGATTCGGTGCAGGAACCTCCCGAACACACCGTGTCCGGTGAGGACCTGCGTCAGGCGGAAGGTGAGGACGCCGTGGCGTCTCTCAAGCCACTCCTCAAAGAGGGGTCTTATCGCCGCTATAGTGGCGTGCCCAGCACGGGGTTGCGACAGTCGCTCTCTCCATGTCGCCATGAGATCATGCCGGAAGTCTGTCCGCTGCGCGACAACTTGCCGCGGCAGCGGGGTTTCCCCCCGGCATAGTGCTGCCGCGCGCCATTCGTGCAGGCGCGCGAGGACTATCGCCTCCAGATCCCATGGCGGCAATCCGGCAAGGAGGCACGCTGCCTCGCGGGAGATCGTGCGGTAGCCGCGAACCATTCTTACGGTAACCACCTTTTGGGGCGCGTTCAGGTGGTGGACGGCAAGCGGCGCCAAACCACGCGCCCACACCGGGGCCACGTAAAGGGCCATGGACTGCACAATCCCCGCGTAGAACCTCCGGCAGGAGGCGTTTGGCCCCCCCAGTTTCGGCAGGAGCCGCCTGAAGGCAGCCCCGGTCCGTTCCAGTTTGGGAGCCAAACGTCGGAAGTGCTCAACGAAGTTCCATCGACCGTCAAGGACGAGTCCTAGGTACTTCAACGTCGACTCGACGCCGATGGATACCCCTCCTACCATCGCTGAGGATCCCGGTGGTGGCCTGTTCCGAGGACCATGGAAGTGCATGGCCTCGGACTTGTGCAGAGCCACCTCAAGACCCAGCTGCCGGATCCTCTCAACGACTATCGCAACCCCGCGTGTCATATTTTCCGCCGCCGCCTCGTACGACCCCCCTGTGCCAGTACCAGCGTGTCGTCAGCGTAGCAAACTACGCTGACGCCAGTAGGGAGGTCGGCGCGCAGCACCCAGTCGTAACCGATGTTCCACAGGGGCGGCCCCAGAACCGAACCTTGTGGGACACCGCACGACATCTCTCGCCGGTTCCACTCACCGTTGCGACCGGGGTAGATGACGGCCCTATCCGTCAGATAGTCCCCGACTATACGACGGAGATAGGTCGGCACCCGGTGATACCGGAGTGCCTCCCTAATGCAGCTCCAGGGCATGGAGTTGAAGGCGTTGGCGATGTCGAGAGACACCGCCAAAACAACTCCCCCCCCCTGGCCACTGCATCCCCCGTCGTGAGGGCTCTCACGCGCATGATGGCGTCCACCGTAGAGCGCCTCTTGCGGAAACCAAACTGGTGTTCCGCAAGATCCGGCCCCGTCCCCGCAAGGTGCTCGGCGAGGCGGTTTGCAATGACTCTTTCAAAGAGCTTGCCCACCTCGTCGAGCAGCACCACGGGCCGGTATGCGGACGGAGAGTCCGCAGGGCGCCCCGGCTTCTGAATGAGGACCAGCTTCCCCGTCTTCCAACGAAGCGGAAATTGGCCTCTCTCCAAGCATGCGCTTAGGAGCCCCTCCAGTCGGGGCCCGAGAGCCTCCGAGGCCAGGACCCAGGCTTTGCCAGGCAAGCCATCGGGTCCTGGGGCGGTATTCCTGGCCTTAAGCCTACGTACCGCCACTCTCAGGTCTACCCCGGTCCCTTCCGGGATGCCGTCGTCGTCGTACTGGTGGTCCGCTTCCGGCACCGCAGGTGGCGGAGCCATAGGCGGGGGCGGGTGTTCCCCTCGCGCAGGAAACAGAGCGCTCACCACGTCCTCCACGAGCTGAGGCCGAAGACTCTGCGTCAGCGGGGGAGCCCAGGTGCGGAGTTTATCCCGCACCATCTTATAAGGGCGCCCCCACGGATCTCTGTCGAGAGTCTCCAGCATCTCCTCACGGGCCCGATCCCGGGCCCGCATGACAGCCTCCCGGAGGGCGGTCTTCGCCGCTCTGTATCCCTCGTACAGCTCCGCCTCAATGGCTGCCGCATTCGGTGGACGAATGCGGAGCCTGCGATGCCTGGCGTACAGGTGCCGCGCGGCGACACACGCCTCGCGTAGAGACGTCAGCTCACGCGACCACCAATACACCTGGCGCCGGGCGCTTCCTGGCCGGACGCGGGGCATTGCCACGTCACATATCTCGGACATGGCCTCCTGGAACCACTCTGCCTCATCATTGACGTCGGCAGGCCTATCCGGTGATGACACCCAGGCCTGCACGATCGAGGCTTCCAGGAGGAGCTCCCGGTCCAGCTGCTTCAGCGCCCAACGCGGACCACTCGGGGCCTGTTGGACTGGCGCGCTCGAGGGCTGGGTGGAGACGTCAAACCGGATGTACCGGTGGTCGGAGTAGGTCTCCACCCCCTCCATGACTCGCCAGTCAATGGCACGCGGCGACAGAGCGGGGCTAGCGAACGAAATGTCCACCACCGACTCGCCCCGCATCCGCACACACGTGGGGACAGAACCCCGATTTAGGACGACCAGGCCTGTCTCCAGAGCCCAGTCTTCCACCATCCTACCCCGCACATCTGTACGACGAGAACCCCAAGCCAAGTTCTTGGCATTGAAGTCCCCGAGGACAAGCACGGGGAGGGGATAGCTTCCGACGACGACTGCTCTCAGCTCTGCAAGAGAGTTGTGGAGCTCGGCGAGAGATCGGTTCGGAGAGAAGTACAGCCCCACAACGACGAACTCCCCGAACCGTGCTGCTACGCACCCCTGACCCCTCCTGACACCTTCAACGGTCGGGGTACCGGCGGCGGCCGAAGAAATGATGGCCACTGAGCCGTTAAGGTCCGCCACCCAGTCCTTCCTAGGCCAGACAGAATACGGCTCAGCGAGCACAGCGATGTTAATCGACCACTGCGCCATGCTCTGGAGCAACAGATCCTGAGCGCAGGCGCAGTGGTTGATTCCTGGAGGAAGCTTAATGGGGCCGTTATAGGCATTCCATTTCAGCTTCCTCCACGGGGCGCCCCTCTGCAGGCGTCGGTGTCGCGGCGGCGGCGGCGGCGGCGACAGTGACAGCGGCGGCGGCGGCAGTTGCAGCTGCGGCGGTGACCATAGAGGCGGTGGCGGCGGAGGAGGGCCCTCCCCTACCCGCGGCCTTGGCCTTGGCGGGTGACACGCAGGCCCTGCTCCCGGCCCAGTGATCGGCTGGCTTGCCGGTCGCCGCACATGCATCACAGTGCGGCGTGGCACAGCAGGTCGCCGATATGTGACCGGGCTGACAGCAGCGGAAGCAGAGGCCACTGCGGTCAATCTCCGAGGCGCATTTCGCTGATACGTGATGCCCCACGAGACAGCGGTAGCACCTCAGAGGTCTGGGCTCCAGCAGCTTAACCTGCGCTGAGACCCAGCCCACCAGAAGCCTTCGGCCCTCCACTATGGCTTTGGCCGCCGTAACAGGGCAACACACCGTGGCGGCATGCATACCCTGTTGGTCCGGGCGTATGGCGCCTGACCTGACCTGGTCAGTAGTGCACCCCCCGGACCTGGCGACGGCGGCCACCAACTCCTCCTCCGATACCGAGTCGTCCAGACCCATGATGCGCAGGTCTGCGCATCTGACGGGCCTGGACACTCGGGCCTCGTCCGCGTTCAGGGACGCTCTGAGCTTCGCAGCCAGAGCGTCTGCAGTCGTGCCACTAGATACCCCGGGGATCTCCAGCATACGGGCCCCCGTCTGGGTGACTTTGAGCCGGAGGCCCCCAGTGATCCCGAGCTCCCCGAGATCCACCGCCTCTTTCGCCTTCGCGAGCAGATCGCGGTAGGTAACGCCCTTCTTTTCCGCGTCCGGCTGTAGTGTAATCACTACAGCTGCGGTCTTCGGGGCGCGGAGCCTAGCCGAGATCTTGCGCGCCCTGAACTAGCGTTGCCGCTCCTGCTCTTTGGCCTTTTTGGCTGCCTTCTTCCCCTTCTGTTTGTCCCCGACCACCTGCCAACCGGCTTCTGCCGCGGGAGGTGTAGGGAGCTGGGGGGGCGGTGGCGGCGGCGGCAGCTGGCTTGCCGCTGGCGCTGGCCCATTCGCCGCAGGCACTGGGGCTGGCGCAGCCATCACCTGTGCTGCGGCTTAGCCGGAGCCGGTTCAGCCGGTATCGATTTTGCCGGAGCCAGCTTTTCAGGGGGGGGAGGGGCAACTGCAGCCCCACCCGAGGGCTGGCTGGACGGCCCCGGCCTGGATGTGGCCGCCGTGGCCGTCGCGTAGGAAACCGTTGCCGGCCTCGCCGCCGTCTTGTTTGCCCCTAGGGGGGGGCGCAGGACGATGCCCTCCAGCACGGAGAACCGGTGCTGGAAGGCAGCCAGCTCCTGCCGGACCAGGTTCAGAACCTGGTTCTCCACCGGCACGGGCTGGCTTGGGCGCTGCGTCTGGGGCGCCGCGCGAGAGGCAGGCTCATGCAGACTGGCCAGGTCTGCGCGGAGCTTCTCATTCTCCTTCTGGAGAGTCTCCATTGCGGACGTCAGGCGGGCCACTTCCGCCCGCAGCTTCGCCACCTCGTCCGCATTAGGCCCGGCCCCAGCGAAGTTGGCCTCCGCAGCCGCCATGATGGAGGCGGAGGCCGCGGGAATGGCCTTGACTTTCGAGGAGGACTTTTGCTTGTTGGCCACGACCTTGATCGCGGCCTCCACCTCCTTTACGAATCTGGCCTTACGCTCCACCTCGGAGCCGCGAGTCGCATCTGTTTCTTCGCCTGATTCCCGAGCCGTATCGTCCGGGTGGCGCCCCTTCTCGGCAAGCTTTGCCGCTCGTTCGGCCCTCTGATTGGCAGAGAGCTCCCTCCCCTTGCCTCTCAGCCCGCCCCGCCTGTTGGTGGGGATTTTCCGGGCCGAAACCTCCTCTTCACCGGATGCCGACCACTGGTCGCCATCCCGCCTGGACCGCTTGCGGAAGAACTTGCTGGTCTCCGCGGTCCCAGGCTCCACTTGTCGGTAGCTCTCTGAGCCTACCTCGCTGCTCGATGCGGCGTCGGACTCTGTCCCCGCATCGTTCCTCCTCTCCTCTACGTTGTCGTTGCCGGCGGTTTTGGTTTTTTGTTTTTTTTCCATTTTTTGTACCCACGAGTATGGGGGAATTAAAGGTCCACCTTGGCAGAGACCCCTTACCAAGGTAAGCAGATTTAGAGGATTTATTACTCGCCAGGGGGTCTGCAGGTACCCTGGCGAGGAGCGCACTAACGACTGATTTGTTCATAGAACCCCGTCAGCCATCCATTCCCTCGCGGTGCGTCGCCGCTTGAGATTCGGGGTAACTTTTTATAGAGGTTTTCTCCCTCGCGGTCCGGGCGGTTAAGCCAAGACCCTCGGTCCCTATCAAAGCCGCGAGACGTGATCCACGACACTTCGATACTGGGATTACGAGACCGGCGGTGACAGCAAAGGATGGATCCTTCACTGTCTGCCCGGAGGCAGGGTAAGTGCACACCGAGCCCGCCCTCACTCCTCTGCTATGCCCTCTGCTGATCAGAGGGTCACGCAGTGGAACGCATCGTTGGTCCGGGACGGACCCCCCCCCCATGTCAGAATAATTAGCCGCGGCAGTACCATTCCCCAAGGAGTAAGAATTTCTTCTCATTTCTCGAGGAAGATTACTGCCGCGCCCAGGGTGCACCGGCCCAGTATCTGCTCTTCCCTACAGACGTATCGAGAGGGACCCGCAACTACCAGGCACACGTGGAGGACTTCTGACTTCGCACCCCAATATACAGTACCTGAGCGGCAGAGTTTCACTTAGTGTTCGAAAAATATTCTCAAAAATGATATCTTTTGCTAGGTGGTAGGATATGGTAGGTAGGATGTGGTAGGATTCCTTTTCACTATTGGAATCCTATCACCAGGAGTTACTCGGCTTTAATTTCTCCCTCTCTTTTCCACCATCGGACAACCAGGTGATCAGCGGGTCTTCACCCCTTTGTTACAGATATTCCACACATTGGAACCAAACGGTTTGCTTCGTCTTTTGTAATGTGTACAGCCAAAGAGTGGAATAATTTACCGGCGTCTATCTTTCCATTCGAATGCAATCTCGACACCTTCAAGGCAAGAATGAATAGGCTTTTGCTACGCTAGGACAGTGTGATTTACCATTTAAGGCTACATAACCACTTACCACGAGGTGGGATTGTGTCAAGAACTGACTTACAATAAATAAATAAAATAACTACTTTCGCTTGGCTAGCTACCATCCTCTTACCTGTTTCTGCCACCAAATAGCAGTGTTTACATTCCTATGTTCTATTTTGACGAGTCTAGAGACCCAGTATAATTATAATCTGAGAGGCATTTCATGTAAATCCTCAGGAGTGATCACGCACCTGTAGCCTTCCTTGAATGAAGTTGTCTACAGGTGTTTATGGACTGCAAAAAAATACATATAAACTATGAAAATGTTCAACAGTCTGTATACACGTCGCAAAAGTTCGCAAAAAATTGGTTTTATTTCAACCGTTCTAATGATACCTACGGCTGACGTATCACGGCTTGTTATTAAGTTCTTCGATTAATTAGTAACTTATCAACTGATTTTGTTTTATTGCCGTGTAGTGGCGGCAGTGTAAGAATATCCACTACCCTATACCATCACGTGGATGTCGCAAAGGGCAACAGAGGAAAACAAATCAGGATATGGGAATCAGCGTCGTTGTCAACTCGCTTACCAAGCGTAACAACGATGGCAAATATGAGGCAATCTCCATAGATTGCAATCTCTATGGGCGGCCCAC